GTGTGTAACGGTAAATCCGCGAAGTTGTTGCACGTAGACTTAATTATGACTGTTTAACATGATTTAATATCATTTTTTTTATACTCTTACATCAAGTATCGTATTGAATATTTAGAATTCTTAATTAGTTTATTTAATAATTAAGTGTGCGAAATACGGAGAAACTTGTAAAAAGTGATTAGAAGAAATTCACCTGAAGGAATATTCGTTATAATATACGCGAGATATTTTATATTGGTATTTCTCGTATTAAAGAAAGAAAATTCTTGGAAGATAGCATTGTAGCACTGATATAAGAGGGGGGTAGGCACGCTTCGGGTAACGCAACATTACTCGATGGATTGGAAGTCGGAAATCCGTGGATAAACTCTAACGCGAGCTGCTTCGATTTCCTCCATGCAAGCCACGTCGGGTCTCGTCTCTTTTTCGATCGATTCCGGCGGAAAACCTCCGAAAAGTATCTGCAGATCCTTCGCGAGCGAGGGTGGTTTCCAAGCAGGAACGCAAGGATCTATCGTGACGACCGTACGACACACCTTCCTTCCCTTCCGTGCCGCAAGGTTCCTCCTCGTCGTGCTCGTGACCTCCTTGGTGAGATCCTCCTCGCCCCTTCTCGATCCTCTTGGAGTGTCTTGAGATTTTTCCGCAGCCGCAGCACTACATGGAATATCGTAGCTAAATTATCGGTCGCCGAATATCGGACGAAATGCGGCGAAAAATTCAGTTTTTGAATGCGCGGGTTCTTGAAATGATGGTAGCTCAACGAGAGGTTCTATTCTCAAATGTATTAAATATTAAATATTGTCTCTATACTATGATCCAGCGGTGTTTATCCAATATTAATAACGAATAATACTTGGAATAGCCAATTAAACGGAATAAAAAGTTGCATTTAGATAAGGCAAAAGATAAAGAAGATACAAAGCTCTCGGCACGCGACTCGAAGAAGATAAAATCTTTCGGAAATAAAATTCTAAAGATAAACCCGTCGAAGTTGAATTCTGAAAAACCTAGAAGCGGAATTAACCTGCTTTTCAAAGCTTTCTTGGTGAGTCTCCTTGCTTTTGTCCTTGCTACGCTGGCTTCTTGGATCTCCTTTTTGGCCTTCCTTACATCTTCCGTCATGCTGGCAAATTCTTCAGGCGGTGCCATCATCTTCTGAAGGAAACGAATTTTTTCTTCCCCGCTATACTTTCCAGTTAGCTCTCTGCGCTTGTGAGCGCGCAGAAGCTTCGTCCAACATTCTCTTTTCTTCCATCCCATTTTGCTCTTGATTGACGATCTTGCTCTGATATCATCATCTTCCGATCTCATTCTTTTATCGATCTCGCTCCATTTCTCATGATCTTTGACTGCTCGATCTGTAGACCTAACGCCAGCAATTCAATATACTTTTCTTATGAATTTCGATTCCAGAGAGAGAGAGAGAGAGAGAGAGAGAGAGAGAGAGAGAGAGAGAGAGAGAGAAGGTGAGAGAGAGGAAGAAAAAAAGACAATAGTCGAATCAGAATTTAAATGAGCATAATTCAAATTCCAACGACGCCAGAAAATCTCAAAGGTCTCCACTCATCTCAAAAGGTTCCATCAAACAATACCCTGGTATAATAGTATTTTTATAGACAATACTTTTCTAATCGTTAGAAAAATCTGTCTATTGCGCCAGCATTAAATCTGTGGGCACCCTACCTGATTAATTTCCTCGGCGCAGTTCTGCGGCAGCAAATATCAGGTTTGCAGACAACAACTTTACAAGGCTTCGCCAGCCTGAAAATGACGGGCATCAGTCGCTTCTTCCGCGCCTTCTTTCTGCGCTTTCTCTTGCTAATTTCCTGCAGAGGAGATTCTACAATCGCTTCCACCAACGAAGGCAAGGGCTCTTCCGCCAACAAAGGCAAGGGCTCTTCCGCCATTGCCTTCTCCTGTTCAACGTCTTGCGCTATTTCCGCCTTGGAAATTTCAACGATCTCGGTTTTCTTTGGATATTTTTCTCGCTCTTCTTTGAATATTTTCTTGGGCATTTTCGTCCCGAGTCGTCCTGTTACTTCATCTGTCGGCAAATGCAAATCCTTTTCGATTTTTCGACTGACGAGTTTTCTCGTGAAACGACTCAGTTTTGAAGGTGAGATATCTAAATCTTCTAACTCTTCATATTTCTGCTTTTCCTATGTGATGCAGAAATATGATATAGATAAATCAACATAGACGAAGCAATAAATAAAATTACTTATTTCTTTAATTATTTTTATATGCGTTTAATTATTTTGACTGTATTAGATGCGGATATAAATTGAGTATATCATATTATACATATATAATTTCAATTTTAATATATTGCAATGATATATTGCGAATAATCTTTTGTTTGTAAAAATTTCTTCTCGTAACATTTAAATATAAAATTATTAAAATTTTAAACTGTAACAAACTCTAAATGATCGATCGGATATAATTTTTTTAATTATTGGGTTCGAATTCGAGATGAGAAATAACAATGAGAAATGATAGTAGATGATAAAATTGTAGAAAGATAATGATTGATTTAATAATTATTAAATTTATCATCCAATTTGATATAAAATTGTTGATAGCTATATAATATGTAACACATGGATTTACATTTCTAACAGCTATATTAAATCTTGTCGAGTATAATAATTATTTAGCGACATTTCGCACGACAGTGGACAATAAATTACACCGAAGTGTAAAAGGTCGCAGTCGAATGAAAGATAGATGAAATATTACTAAAGTTCTGTAATATATAGCGGTTAGCTGACCGCGAGTGATATATTAGAAATTTTATTACACCAAGAAAATAAAATGTTGGAAGAGAGAAGAATCAAGTGTGAAATTAATATATTCAAATGATGAATTTTCGTTCAAAATTTAATGTCATAATACAAAGTATCTTTATGTAAATTTCGTTAATAGCTCTTTAATTTCTGATTGTTGTTAAAGAAATGTTAAGCGCCATTTCTGATCAGGTAGAAATTTTAATTTAAAACATACTTTAATCAAAATGATGTGGATGATTTTAAGAACGATTATATTGATATTACCCTTTTTACAATCTCAAAGAATTTGTCTTCCACTTCTTGAAGTTCGGGAGACCCGTCTTTAGGCTTCCTCTTAGATACCATTCTCGTCTTCTCTCGCGTATCTTTCAGCCTTTCTCTTTCGCCTTTTCGTTTATTGCGATCGTCCATTAATCGTCTATCTCTCTTTCTATCTCTCGGTTCCGCTAACGAGAGCTCTGACGGTTCCTCTACGCTTCTCGCTAATTTTATTTCTTTTATTCGCGTGTCTATTGCCTTCACGAAACGAGAGCACCTCTCCAGATACTGGCGTTAGATTCGAAAAAGCATAATGAATATCGGTTTTATTTCGTACCTCTATTTAACTATAATTGTAAAATTAATTTTCTGTAATTTAATTTGTGATATAATGAACATGAAATTATTATAAATAGAAAACAAAATTAATTTAACCACGTTTAAAGGCTACCCTTTAATAAAGAATATATTATTATCAATACATTATGTCTTAAGATCATCGATGATTCTTTAATATCTGTTTATTCCGTGTTGCTTGTACTTCTTTTATAAACCAATTTCACATAATACAAATTTACGACAAGAGAGACTTGAAAGACAAATTTAGGCCTGGTTTTACCAAACGTCGCTTATCTTTGACCTTAGTTCAATCCACGTTTGTCTCTTTCTAAAGTAACAGTTGGGAAAAGACAAAGAACGAAGTAGGCTGAGTGTAAAGTTAAACAACGCGGGTGAAACCGGACCTCAAAAGCGAACTCACCAACGTGAAGTCGTTTCTATCATTTTTATCAAATGAATATAGCGCCTCCGTTAACTCGACAAGATAAACGTTGCCGGCAGAATTTCCGACCGCCAGTAAAGACCCCGACACGTGTGACGTGACTGCCGTTAATTTTTGCTCACACAGCTTAACTGTCAAAATTGGTTCCCGCAGACCTATCAGTAGGTCCCACACAGTCAGCTCGCCGATACGCGTCGCTATGTAAAATATAGAGTGCCTAGTTTTGTTCCAGCAACCACAGATTGCGTCTTCTGTTATAAATCTAAAGGTTAACAATAATATATATGTATTTTTATTTTATCGAAATCTTATACTGAATTATGTTCAGTTATACTCGGCTCATATCACTAACTGACAATCAATTATAATATGTTGATTTTATTCATGCTACCATAAGAATTAATCGTCTATATATTTTATATATATTTTTTTTTTAGATATAAAACTTAATTGATTTAATACCGATGTTTTAATATTAAATATCTTATATTAATTGCTCCAGATGTAGCATCAATGAATCAATAACTATTTATATCACAATAAGCGATTTGCATTTTGCTGTTGAAATGAATAACAATTTATTATCGGTGTTCCGAATTTACGGTTTTAGTTGAATACGGTTTAATTATTATTCAGCTATTATTCAGTTGAATAATTTTCAACTCATCTTCAAAGACATAGTATAGAGTTATTGAACAAAAACACATACATATCTTTTGATTGCAAGCTTGGTTACTTGTGTTAAACATGAAATTATTATCATTTTTATAATTGATTGTTCGAATGTCTTGTCTGAAATAGGAGAAGAAAAGGAAAACCTCGTCGACACGAGACTGCCATCCTTAATGTCTTCCGTCCAGACACGAGCCGTGCAGTCACCGACGGTCAGAAAGATCTTTGGGTTGAAGCCACTGCGATCGACGGAGAGTACCGGCCCGTAATGAGCATTGAATCTCAAGGCCATTTTCTCGGCCGGCGTTCTCGCCTTTTTCGAACCACTGATCACGATTCCGTTCTCCAAACCGAACATAAACTTCGTGCCTACGCTGGGCTCGTAGTCGGCCGACGCGACTCCGATCGCCTGATCCATCTGAGGCTCGTTTGGCGTCTGAAGATCGAACACAAGAACTTCAGTTGGCTCTCGCAACTTCCTAGTATCCCACCACATGGCACGGCCATCCGAGGAACCCGAGAAGAACTCCGTATTACTCTTCGTGGCGATCCACTTGACTACCGTTGTGCAGTCCCTTAGAAAGTGCAGAACTCTTATACACGTCTTTTCAAACGTGTTGTATTACTTTATAAAAGGGGATTTTTAATTATATCTCTTTGTTAATTCAATTATATTCTCTTCCGTCATATAATTAGATGTATATCTCGAAGATAAAACAAACATCTTTCTCTCGTATATACCGTTGCCGCACTTTTCTCGAAACGAAACGAAACGAAACGAAATAAAGATGATTGAGTCGGCGTTGCAAGCGCGTTGATGTTGAAAGAAAAATCACGCGCGAACGCGGCGAACGTCATTTAAAAAATGGAATGAAATTTAATTGAGGGCGGAAACGCGACAGGGACAACATTTTAATCATTCATCATCTCGCCGCGTGAACTCGAAATGCTCTTTCGACCGACCAAGAGCAGGGCACTCTGATACTGAATTATGAAACCCAAAGTTCCGACGTCGCGCCCAGGCATGTTCACGTCGAGATTACCTATGACTGAATTGACGATGAGACATTTGAACCGGAGTGCTGCCAGTCCTGACGTCCCAGCTGCAAACTTGGCCTGACACCAAGCCGCTGGCAAGTATGGAAGGATCTCGGGGATTAAACTCGCTGACCACCGTGGCAGATGGGGCCTCCAGTGTCATCCACGGCTTATTAGGATTGTCTGCCGCGCGTTTTTCGAATATTCGAGACCAGTTTCGCGACATTTCGGTCGTCGGCCGAACGTGCAAGCGGACGGGAAAACATCGCGTTATTTTTTAAAGATTAAAAAGTTGCGCTTGTGAAATCCGATTTCAAGCCATTAGAGACGTACCGTTAAAAAATACATACGTTGAATAAAGTGTAGCTACGTTTCATTTACGATACGCGAGAAATGCAATATCGTTCGGTTTTCGTGCCCGATTTATTCGTGTGCGTTGTTTCGCCGGCATTTCATTCGTTATAGAAGTAAGATGATTGCTGATACAGAAACATTGCATTTTTTCGTTCAATTAATCAATAACAATGCATCGCTGTTTGATCGAACAGCACTTTATTAAGTGCTGAATTGGCGTTGCGCGCTGAGAAAATTGGCGTCGCATATTCGATCGTTAAAACTGAATTTTGCGTGCAACTTTTTAAAACTTACTTTTAATCTCACTTTTAATACAACATCTCTTTCGAGATGAGAAAACATTTGTTTTCTTTCATAAAAGAGCTATTGTATCTAGCTATTTTACTGCAATATTTAATAATAATATACTGTACATTTAATTTACTTCTATCACAATAGAATTATATCGGCGGATATTTCTCACTTTTTGTTAAGAAATTTACTCGATAATCATTTAGTCGATAAAAGTTTGAGACCACGTTTCGTTGCGAGTGATTAGACGATTATCGAAAAAAAAAGGAGCGTTTTTATACCGTACAAAAACCTCGCATGTATTTTCTTGGGACAAGATTGTTATTTATCCGAGTAATTTGCATGCCGTGTAAAAAAAATCACCGCCACTAAAAACGTTAATGCGGCGAGTAAGGGCGGAAACTTATTGCGGATGTTGTGCAACCGTAATCAAGTGCGCCGTCTAAATGCAGTCAAGGCTCTTGCGCGCTTTTTCTACCTACCAATCTGCCAGATGTACGCAATGTTGCTGTAATCTGGCTCGATTCCAAAGAAGCAGTACGAGACCACCATTTTACTGCCAGAGTCTGGCGACCAAGAAATATTGTTCACCGATCTCGCCGGCGTTTGAGGATCCTCGTAGACGTTCACTGTCCTGAAGTAAAATTCCGTATTGCCAGTGACTTTCATGCAGTGAAAAAGAAATATCGCATTTTTTTTTAACGCAGTAATAATACCGTCGAAATGATAAAATGTGCTCGATATAAAAATATGGCATTTTAGTATTTTGAAAAATAACACGATTTCCACGTTTTGCAAGTTGCACGTGATGGTGTACTTTATATTATAATATATATAAATTCTCAGTATTAATACATAGAATTTGATACGTGTATTATTATCGCGTTTATACATTGTGGAAATTCACTGTATTATTTCCGACCCTGTTTTTATCGTATGCTCCAACATCCATCTATTAATTTCAGTATTAAATTTTGAATCATGTTACGTTACATCACTTCGCTTTATGTTTACATTAACTTTTACATTATTGAAAAGTGTACGTAAAGTTTAAAGAGGGGGGAAAAAAGGAAGCGATTGTTATTCCCGCGACTTCTTTTCGAAGTAGCGAAATTACTAAATAGTTTAAAGCCGCCTGCAGCTCCCGCGCGCGGAAAATCGTTAGTTTAAAACAGAGAAAAGCAAATTTAGAGGTAGGATGCATAATTCATTCGCGTCCACCACGACTCCGGAATCCCGACATATGTTCAGATACCTTCGGGCCCGGCCCCGGGTTTAAATTTTAAATCTTTTGATGGTCGAACCAACGTAGTCATTCTTGTCCCCCACGAATATATACATTTTTAAATTGTTCATCTGAAGTCGCACGAAGTGCGTGATATCGATCCGTCGTATGATAATTTTTAATCGATTAAAATCCCTTCAACCGATTGAATTATTACTTTATGATTACGGCTACGCATTTGCCAATTCTTTTAACATAAATATTTCCACGCTTCTTATCACATTATTTCGCCTCCCATTAACAATATCAATCCGTGTTTCAGATATATGTGAATTGTATACAATCCTCATTTTTGCTACGGGCAAAAAGGCGACAAAATTAAATTTTCATAAATAACAATGGCTCCTATGACGAAATCAAGTAATAAAAAAGGGGTTCAGAGCCTAAACAAGGTTGTAGTGTCCAATAAAATAATTTTAATTATAAACGTATATAAAGTATATATAAAAAATGTATATATAATAAATACATTTATAATTAAAATTATTTTATTGGCCACTACAACCTTGTTCAAGTTCTGAGCCCCCTCTTCATTGCTTGATTAAATTTTCACCTGAGACTACGAGGTTTCACCAATTCCGTAGGAATCATGTCGTCAAAATAGTGTTCGTATATATTGAGTGCGCCGTTCTGGAGAACATTGTGCTCTATTTGCTGCGGGAAAGAAATAACATGTTTTCCGTTTCTTATATAAAACGGCATGTGATTGATGTCAACCGAATCATGCAGTCAGTCAGGACATTAATTAATTAATCGATTTCTCGAAGTTGGTATTGATTATTCTTTCAGGATTGCGGTTAATCAAGTTACGGGATATCTCAATAATACAGAAATTCTCGATAATAACGTCGAAATTTAATATACTTGAAACAAGTTGCTCAATTTCGGCATCCAATCTTCGTCCTTCTCGATTCGCCTGCGAAATCTTGCTGTAGCTTCTTCGTCTTTCGGATTGATTTCCTTCGGCCAACCACCCTCGAAGTGAAACATTCCGCTGCCCTTCATCTGACTGCCGACGGTTTGAGCCTGGAATTCCATAGGAATGATTGTTAGAACGATAATGTGAAATACCATAGGGTTAACCACGGGCATCGTGTGTATTCAAACAACTCCATTTTCGTTTATTTCTCATTTCTCGGTGCAACGAAATAATATAATGACGGACAAATTTACAGTCACTCGGAATGATATTTTTAATATCTTACGCTACATATGTTTTATCGTTGATTAATTTCTTCTAAGCATATGGCAGAGCTTTGAAACATTTCGCACAGGAATTACGATGTTAAAATTATGAATTGTGAAATTGTTGTTCTTAGTAGTGTCGAATGTCTGCCTCGCGTTGCCTCATTATAAAACAAAACGTGCCGGTCGTGTAAAATTCGCGTGAGGTACGTCTTTCCACGTCGTAGTTTCGTGGAAAGTTGCACATTTGTGGCATCAAGTAGCGAACTCTGCGCGGATGTTGCGCCGTCAGGCGCGTCAGTCTGACGCCAATTTTATCGCAAGTTGCGTCTAGTTCCGTTAAAGTAAAGCGCAGTTGATTTTTGAATATATTAGTAGAGTTTTTGAACTGGTTTTGAAGGGGGGGAAGGGGGTGCCGCAAGATGTAGTTCGTTGCGCTTTACATCGGATCCGACATTGTATCGCTAAAGTTGTTATTTGAACTCTATACGAAAATCTCGAGGATATAATCTTGTAAATTAAATGAATAATTTTCCAATTTTCTCACATTTCTCTTGCATACTTAATAAATTGCAATGAGATTGTTAAATAATTAGTGTCGATAATATTGTAATAAATTATTAATAGTCAACCTCGTGCAAAGCAAACTGTTTGGTACGTTGCACGCCGATGTTGCTGTGAGACTTTACAATGTAATGGGCCATAGCTTTAGGATCCGGCTTGATCTCTTCGTCTAACTGCGGGCCGCATATGTCGAAAATGCATTGCTTCCCAAATTCGTTCCGCTTTTTCAGAAAAACCTGCTTGATCTCCATTGCAGTGTTATTCACCGAACTGACTTTAACTCTGACTCTCGCGCGCAAAGCTTGCGAAATCAATATTCAAAATGTAAGGAATGAGCGAATCCTTCGAAAGTGTCACGCGTGTATTCCCACATGTGTTTCTCCGCGTGAAATTGCGCACGATCGGTTTTTCTTCTGACGCAATTCATTGTTTTCTTTTTTCTATAATTCGATATTACATTTTTAGGAAAATTCGATATTACATTTTTAGGAAAAACATTTCACATAAAATTACGAATGTGAAAGTAAAACTAGGAATTTTCACATCTTCATCAATTTCACATCCTTGAACCTCATTTAATTTCATTTATAAAAATCTCTCGTTTTTCTGATCAAGCTGATTGAACGACAGCGGTTAATCGATGAAGATTGCAATCAAGATTTCTGCTCTTCTTGTATACTTGTTAGTTTATCGAGGATCGCTGACGTAACTACTCTATCTTAACGATCGTTACATACTCTCTGTTGTGCCTCCAGCATCATGTTTGCCACGTCTTTTATGTGAAGGATTGCTTACGTGTAATAAAAAAATTTGAGATTTGAATAACATTCCAGAATTCATTTTAATTTTAATGAGACTTTTTATTATTATAGATCTGATTAAGATTGTTTTGTACAAAACCTGCTTAAATGAGAAGAATTTTATCTTCTTCTATTTTAACGTTTTCGACGTCTCAGCTCATCGTATAATTTCTTTGGCTCACTGACTAAAACTATTTATATTTCTAATCATAAGTCGCAAAATTTTATCTTCTTCTATTTTAACGTTTTCGACGTCTCAGCTCATCGTATAATTTCTTTGGCTCACTGACTAAAACTATTTATATTTCTAATCAGAAGCCACAAAATTATTATATGCAAATAAGATCAGACTTTTTTTAAAGCGATCCTGAATCGATGAAATTGCACAGTAACTTCATATTGCGCAATTATATTGATCGTGTCCATATTGATATCAATATTATATCTGCGCGATATCAGTATTATTTACACGATATGTTGCATCAATAATATTGATTGTATATAGACGATAGCTTTAATAGTTAACGAGTTTGCACGAAATGATACAGCAGCTTCGGGTAAAATAAAAATATGAGCGGAATTGAAAATGCGGAGTTGATCAGTGCGCTGAAAAATTTGTGAAACGAAAATTAAAATAAAAATAAAAAACCATAAAACATCTTTTGCCGCGTGATGCGATGAAATGCGCGCACTGATATTTTTATTAGCCAACGCAAATATTATGGTGATTTATGTATATAAACTCATACATGTTTCATCACACACGTTGCTATATGTTTAGCAGCGTTAAATTGCTATCACGCCGGCCAAATATTATACAAATTAGCATTTTAGAATTTGCAATTTAGTAGAAAAATGAGTTCAATAAAAATAACAATTAAGATAATTGTAAGACTAATCGGCAAGAAATGTGTTTCCCCCGATTGTCCAAAATGGAAATAAATTTCGCGAATTTATTAATTTTAATGTTGTCTGCGTGAAGTATTAAAAGTTTTATCATCGTCTGAATTTCTTACACGAGTTGCAATTAGAAATAAAACGCCATGAATCTCAAATTGACCCTCGAGAGATTTATCCATTGACTTGTATTACATCTCGAAACTAATTTAGCTGAGTTCCTTCGTAATTATAAATATGCAACGTACAGTTACTCCACCGCGGTAAGTCGTTTAGCATTTGAAAGAACCTGTTGTTTTCCTGACTCGATGCTTCTCTCCATCCAGCTTTTTCTCCTCATACATTGTAATTTCCGATCTCAATTCGTAGGGCTCGATGAACTACGATGCCCTCATCAGCTAATGGCCGCGGCATCCGTTTGTTAGTTTCCGCCGATCACGTTCGACCAACAATCATCAACGGAGGCGAAGATTCGTATTGTTTTCGGATTCATGCACTGCTACAATCTACAATCTACCACAGCTGTTCGGTCGATTGTTGGAAAAATTGTATACCTTCCGATATAACGTTTTAAAATGATGGAATTGCAGCCGAGATCGCATATAAAATAGCCTATAAAACATTTCGAGAAACACACAAATAATCGTTTGCCACATTAATATTTATTAAAAACATCTATAAAGATAAATATTCAAGATTAAAAGGTAAATTTTAAAATAAATTGCTTTATCAATACATACGCACAAAACTGTATACTTATCCAAATTGTAAAACTGTATAGCGTATAAAAACGTTGTAAAATACATTTCAGCGTTGCATTCCTCAGAATTTCTACGGCTCGTTTTATTATTGTTGCATTTTACAACGATTTCGCAAATCGAGTATAGTTTCAACAGGAATTATCCGAAATGGAGTGGTGAGTTGCAACACGAAAGACTCGATAGTTACGGTACGTTTCTCGAGTGTCTATCGATTTGCTAATCCGCGCTACACCTGTAGTTTTCCAGCAGGATTTACCGAGCAAATAAAGAACCTAAACGAGACCCGGCTAACCGATTGCGAAACTAGGCCATTTGTAGAACTCTTTGTTGCCAGCGCTTTTTACCTCTTATTAGAGTCCGCACATGCATAATGAGCCGTGGTTTATTGTCAGAGGAAACCATTTTCTTTTCAACCAGGAGCAAAAGCTTAACGCCGATAAGAAATTGAATGAAAAAAAAAACAAAGCACATTGAGCAGTGCATGGAAAGACGAAAATTTCCTCGCTAAAGACTACATATATAATCTCAATTCCGGGCAAGTTCACTTTTTTTTCGCTGCGGCTGAAATCTGATAAATTCGCTTATCGAGTCTCCACGTCCACGAAAGTATTGTCGTCAAAACGTTTTCCGGTTGAGCGTGCTGCTCTCCGGGAATTCCCGAGCCGAGTTACTCTGCGCGAATCCTTTCCAATCAGGTCGCGCGGCTTTTCCATACGAGAACGCAAGTTTTCCGTAAGACACGAGTGGCGGGAATCGTCTCATGATTCTTCCATGAGCGTGGTACGCCATCCATTTGCTTCGGCTCCGCTCAACTTTCCATCCTTAACTCTTCACTTCGAACTTTCCTCCCTTGTGTTGGGCGAGAGAACCGAACCCTGCGATTCGCCAATTTTCCGCGGAATGTATATTCGAGATTTCGCTCGTCCCCCTGTGTACGCCACCCTTCGCGAGCCTGCCACTGATTAATTGATCTTCTCTCTGACGCATTTCTTCTTCAAGCATCTCTTGGAATACTTTGCATTGCTTGGAATCGTCGACGAAATATTCTCACATTGCATTCATCAGCATTTTTTTTGGACAATGGCCTCAAATACATATATGTATATATACACTCACCCACATATAAGCACGTAATATTTGTATATGTTTATGTGTGCACATTTGTTGGCGGTGTGCAATTTCATTCTTATTTAGTACAATATAATTATTTGTTATGTTGAATACGCTTTTTATAATTATCTTTTGATTTAATTCTTTATATTCCTCTCTAGAATTAATTAGCGGAGTCAGTGCGTCCGATTCGATTTATGCAACGTCGCGTAACATTGCGAAAAGACGGAAGTATATACTTTTCAGATAAATATACGACCAACGGAGATTTAATTGTCCGAAAACCTCCACGGAAGAAATGGAAATTAGAAAATATTCCTTTTTTTTCCGCGTCCACTCCGAAGTCTTTTGTGTATCGCGAAGTGAAAATCGATTCTTGCAGTCAGCGCCAGGACGATTTCCATAATTTAATTTATATTGGCTTAATCCGCCGGCGTTTCAGATGCGCTGCAAACTTTACGGGACGCTTGTCGCGGATTAAGCGACGGGCGTACCCGCTTGAATTTTTAAACTCCATCCCACTGTTTTAGAAAACTTTTTTTCCACGAAAGCAGGTCAGTCTTATTTCCAATTCGGCGAGGATTCATCTCCAAGTCCTCGGGAGCCGCGAGTCGCACACCCGTGGCCGCGATATACCTATTCCGCACACCTGCGCTTCCGTCCCGGCGCATCGAGATACGCCGTGCGATCGATTAATCGGGCGGAAACTTTAAACTGGACCCCTTTGATCCCCGGCGGTAATTACGACAATTTACCGCCTTAAGTTTCAGCCTCTCCGCTGCCTCGTCGCTGCCACTTCAGTTTTACACAATCGCCCGGGCGGAATTTTGAAAAACCTCCTCGGTAATATTCATCGTTTTGCAGCAACGTTGTAGAACCATTGACGAGTCATTTCGAAAATGCTCGATTTTTTTCATTTGAAAAAGCTCTCAGCTCTCGGTTGAACCCGCTCTTTCGATTTTTCGTTTGTATACATGAGTGTACCCTGCATTATACTTGTCCGTTCTATTTGATCCGTTTCTATCTATGCCAAGCATCACGTTGAAAGTCTTGCAATTCTATTCAAATATCAAGTGCCCTCCGCCAACTTCTTTTCCGTGAACTTCTTGAAGATCATTCTCCGCCTCTCCATACAGCCTCGATCAAATGAACAACTTCGTAATTTCTCTTACTCAAGATCTTGAGATATCTCAGGAAATACTTAAACTAAATTACTGCTTCGGGAATATATTTCGAGTTACAATTTCCTGGATCTTTATGATACCTTGAGACACGTATATATTTGTTAGAGCTCGGCAATCAGTTCGCCAATGCAGTCTTCATATTGCGAAATAATTAAAATTAAAACTGAGTTAATTAATATAATCAGGTTACTGTTTGCGCTCCGACATTTTTCAATTATTAATTTGGTTTACATTTCAGCTCCGTTCTCGCAGTCGAAAATTTTAATATCATTGGCCGGTGAATTTTGCCGAACTGGCGCAATCACCAAAATATCACGAATGTTAAATTATCGATCGCCGCCCCTACTCGCGTCTCGCCGACATCATTGTTATCATTTCCGTTGATTCGTCAGTATGTGCGGACAACGTCCCTTCCTCCTGGTCGCACTTCTCAAGATACGAGTCGAGCTTCCTCGCCTTTCTTTTTCCGCGCGTTTGCAAAGTCTTGTCCTCGATCGCGGACCTCCATTTTGAGCTCGTTTCCACGAGCTGCCGAAAATCCGATCCTCGCGCAGGCGACTCGACGTCGCCGTTCCCGACTTCCTTCTTTTTTCCTTCTGGTTTCTCCTGTACAACCTCGATCGTTCTGGGCCGCCAGAAGTCACGTTTACCCAACGCGATTCTCTCCTGCCAAGCACGCATTTCCCTTCTGGCTTCCCCGACTTCGTCCGCGAGTATGTTCGCCAGCGACTCGTCCTCCACCAATAGGATCCTTTTCTCCCCGACTGACGAATGTTCCGGCAACTTCTGCTCAAGATCGAATAACTCACGTCGCCGTTGGGTGATAACCCACGAATATTTCTTTCCCTCCGAAGCAAGTTGGGCTCTTACTTCAGCCTTCCACTTTTCTAAAATATACAAGTCGAACGTTGAATTAAAATTTATTTGTGATACTTTTATTTTCATTATTTTATACATTTTAATCTAGTTGCTTTATTATGAGAATCAAATTGTCTCCATAGAGTTAACTAATATTCACTCGCATTTAATAATTTAATATTCAATTTTTAAGATGTCTTTAGCGAAGCGCAAATTAATACAACAGTATGTACTATCAAGATATTAGATAAGAAAGAAGATACATTTGGAAACGAGCGACATTTTTCAATTTCAAAACTATTTCATTTTATATTAAATTATTTTATTTTCTAAAATAAACATTGCAACTATAGCAACGGGCACGTTTTATTCCTTGCGCCAGATGAAACGTCATAGAGCTGCGATATTCCCCACGAGACCAATTATACTGGACACTTCAATGCACCCCCGATGTGTTTAAAACGCCCGGTGGGAAGACGACGAATAGTATCCGCTTTACTGCTCTAATCTAACGCCGGGGTGATTTCATCCTATCCAATTTTGTTCTAGCACTGTCGTTGATCTTACCCTTACCTCGTTTATTTAACATCCAATCTAAGCTTAACCCTTCGGACCCTCCCGATAGAAATCCTCGCAATAACATTTTAGCAGTCGCCATAAAGCCGTTTCTTCGTGCGAAAATCATACCTACTTTCGTATTATGTTACTGCTGCCTGTCTATATGCGACATTTTTGTTTTCTGGTGGAAAATTATTGCGAATGTTTAAACATTAATCTTCAACGTGAGCTATTATTCCGTCAAATTCCTCCATCAAAATTCAGAGTTGACAATATTAATTTAGAAATTTCCTGTACGAGCAAGTTAAATGTAATTAATGAGGCTCTCATATTGTTAAAAGATGTCGGCAATATATACTAAAAATAATGTATACACTTAACGATATGTCTCGCTATTGATGAATATTCAATGGCGGGGCATTTTAAGAGTGAAGAAAAACATTTTTACTGGAGCGGTGAGCGAGATATTGCACGTCATAGTTGTTGGGCAAGATGACAGAACCATAATGCATCTTTGATGGCACGTGACAAATGATAGTTTAATGGCGCAGGCTTGGTCCTGCGGCTGCGGAGCGCGCGCACATCCGGTTTAAGAAATCACTGAATTGCAGTGGCGCAAGAATACGACAGGTGTGCATAAAGTGTTGTTTGATAAAATCTTGCTGTCCTCGCGGAGAAAAAGAGAAGGGACTCGCGAGAAATTGAGGGGAAAATATTATCAGCGCGCAGTCCCTTTATTCCACCCGTCGCGCTTTCCTCCGCGCTGGCCGACGAGTAAAGCGAAATGGGACAGACAATAAATTCTCATCGGACAGATTCATGCGCGGACGTTTGTCGTACGTCCTTCATTAAGAAACGGCGCTGAAAACGCCTCGCCCTCTCCAATTACGCCGGCACGTCTAAAACGGCCAAAGGGAAACACAACAGCGACGTAGATCCCCGAGTTTAGCGCATTAATCTAAACCGAGGCGCAGTTTGGTTAGACGCATACGACACGCTTTGAAACCGACCGCAATCGCGACAGCGACGTTCTTAATTAAGCTGCCCGATTGTGTCGCGCCACGGAGACCCGTCGCTCCCGTGTCGCTGGATCAGCGAAATGCAATGTCGATGGGAGACAGGCGGGAACACGAACGAATGAGAACAATGAACGTTTATCAATGTTTCCACCTGACATGGCGCTTTCGCGCGGTTTGATCGCGGTTTTCCACCGAAAACGTTTTTACGAAATTATCTCCTCTCCCCCGCATTTTCCCCGCCTCGCAGCGCTATCAATCTGTCCACCGCGATATTTCTTCGTCGCCGCGCGTTGTTGCTCGTTGGCCGGCGCTCAAATGCGACAGAAAATTACGCAATGCCGCCCATCGCGGGCTCAAATAAAGCCCCGCGCGGCCGAGGTAGCGCGGTATTATCGGATCGCGCTGGGCTTCGAGCGGAGATCTCATTATCTTGTCCGTCCATGGATGTCCCGAGCGACGCATGGAGAGCGAAAAAAATTGATCGCCTTACCGATCCGGCGAAACGACGTTTGCGCTGTCGCCGTTGGGAACGGAAGCTTACCTTCCAGGTCTGCGCAACAGATTTCCGGCTTACAGACCTCGATGGCGCAGACTTTCCTCGAAATCTCCTCTCCGCGACGTTTCTTCACGGTCTTCCTCGGTTTTACGAATGGCGCCCCTAATGTTGTAACCGCCCTTTCTCCAGCTTCCTCCTTGTCAACTTCCGTCCCCTCTGTCGAGGACCTCGTCGGGGATTCGAGCTCAGATGCTCTTATCCTTTCCATCCTCATAGATTTACGCGGCTTTTTGACCCCTGCCGTCGATGCCTCGCGCGAAAGTAACTTTTTCTTACGCGTTACCTCCACGAGACTGACCACTTTTTCGGGGTCCAGCCTTGTGTAACTCGCAAGTTCCTGAAAAGACATCGGTCGCGAGTTTCTCGTGAGAATTTATGTAACGAATTGTATAATTAGAGGGAAGTCCCCTAATATCAGATAGCGGAGTTTCTGCCAAATTAATAGGCATCATCTGTTGCGCTCCACCATGAAACAGCACGTTGTAAACCTACTATCTCATAATAGAGGACTTTGCTCTATTACTTAATGTTTGCGTAAAATATTTTGATCTACTTGGGAACAGATAGTAACGATTAATCTGTATTCCGGTGCTGCACACACGTCACAATGAACTATTAACATCTTAAAGTAGAAGAATTATATGTTGTTCTTTTATCATCATAAACGGAAGCGCTAGTCTCACAGCAATGATCATTAATTATGTTTTAAGAGACACGAAAGTACGCGTTCTAAACAGCACGAGAGGAAATGTTGTGCCCGTGGCAAAGTGCGGCCTTTCTTCTTCTCGGCTACTTAATTTTTTTTCTTTACCCTATTTACTGCTTGAAAAAATGCCTCTTCTGACTCCGTCAGTTCCTCGAAGAACGTGTGGTCCTTCTCCATCTTCTTCGTGCGATATTTTTTCCTGGGGTGCTCGCCCTTTTCTCTAACTTGCGTCTTGCTCTTATTTCCCCCTTTATTATTTCTTTTCTGATGTCTGCTCTTTGGTACGAACGCATCGTGGTCCGCTGCGGAATCCTCGTGAATGTTGGCTGGCATCAAGCGTATTTCCTTCAATCGTGTGTCAGTGGTCTTCTCGAAACGAATGCACCTCTCGAAATACTACAGTAAAATGCATTGCCTTTCGTCTTCGATCAACGTAAAATGATGCAAGATCAAAGTTGGAATATACAGACTCGGGAGTACAAATTTGAAAAGGGCAACAACCACTCAAATCCAAGTTACGTCAAATACACAATAGAAACGTGATTGATCAAAATCTTTATGTCGTAGGAAAAAAATTGAAACTGAATCTGAATCGTCCATATCTCTCCCGAGATTTTTCCGAAGTTACAGACGAATTGAATTTGGACGTTGAAAACCTGCTGTCTCACATTAAGAGCCTGTCTCGTAACAGGCAACTCTATCTGCCTACAGCCATTGCCCTTTTCGACGATACTTTTAAAAACACCCACGGCAGTAAGATTCGCCTTGTCGGCTTTGGTATTAATAATGAGCCCTTCGGAACACTCCACCAGATATATATTGCCATCGTGACCGCCGACCGCCAGGAGCTGGCCGTTCTCGTGAGGCGCGATGGCCGTGAGGCTGTCATTGCAGACGCGAAACGTAGTCACCGGCGAGTCCAGGCCGTTCAGGATGTCGTACACCTCCAACAGACCCGTCGCATTTATGGTGAAGAACACCGAGTACCTGGATCTGCTCCAGCAACCTCCGCGTAAATCAGCATTCTGTTCACTGCGCGCACAAAATTTCATCCTCTACTTCCCCGGTCTTTACCGAGCGTATGCCTCGCGACACGATAACAACGTTAACTTCGCGACTGCGCTACGGCAAAAATGACAATGGAGAGCTTCGACGCTGATAAACAAGACGTTAGTCGAACGGAGAAACCGCGAGATATATCATCCTGTTTACGTGAATAGCTGCTTCGCTTTGTTTCGCGCTTAAGTATTCATAGTTCTATTCTACTCTTTGTGCGCTGACTAATTTATAGTTAGATATACGACACAATGGTGCTGATAATAAAGCATACTATAGTCTAGCGTCCATGCAATCTTAATATACACAGAAAATTTATGTTTGAATGAAATATTAGGCAAAAATACAAAATTCTACAATACACTCGACCCAAGTGATTTAAAGCTAGAAAAATTGAGGCCCGGTTGCGCCAACGTCGCTTAACTTTAACCTTTGCTTGATTCACTGTTTGTCTCTTTCTAAGGGAAACGGTTAGAATGAGACGAAGGGTGAATGAAGCTACAGTGAAAATTACACGACGTTGATGCAACCGGGACTTATGGCTCCAAATTCGCAAGGCTAGTCGATTTAAGCCGATAAAATTTAGTGGATCTAACCGGATGGCGGTCAAGCTGCCCTCCCTGTCTTCCGTCCAGATCTTGACGGTCCAGTTGCCCACAGTGAGGAAGTTCTTCAAGGCGAAGGGGCTTCGGTCAATGGCGATGACAGGACCGACGTGACAATTGAATCTCAATGCCAGTTTATCGACCGGACCGGCAACCTTCCGTCTAACGTTGATCACCATGCCGTTCTCCATACCGGCCAGGAATCTCTGTCCAATAATCGATTCGTACTGCAGCTGTGTGACTCCGATCGCGCGAACGATATCAGCCCGGCGCGGATTATCCAGATCCATCACCAGCTCGTTGGTTGGTTGCCTCATCTGCCTGATATCCCACCACTTAATCGCACCGTCGGTGGACGCCGAGAAGAACTCCGTGTTGGTCTTGGATTGGATCCAGAGCGCCTGGTTCGCCGGGTTTCTTTCGCGCATCGTCGGGCAGAGCGGAAGGAGAAACGGGAGTGACGGAGATTACAATTTGGCAGCGAAACGGCAGGCTCTTTGGAAACATTTTGCCACGACGACGGCAGAAATTGCGACCGCGTTTACGATACGTATGAATTGCAACGATCCGTAACCCCTCATCGGCTGTGAACCACTTTACGAACACCATTCCCTCACGGAGTCTGCACCGTTTAATTGGCGTGTTTTGAATAATTAACGCACAGGTGAAATCCTATAAGAGTCGGCGCGATTGCAGCCTCTAGACTTAAGTAAAGCTGAGCGACGCTTTGCTGCGCTTGTTTTCTTATTTCATCTCAGTTAAAGGTATCGCAATATTTTCCGACAGTTTAACGGTGATGCGAAATTATAGAGGAAATCTCGATTATTCATTTAATAATTAATGTCTCGCGATTGAAGCAAAGGCAAAAGAAAAAGTATTAAAATTATTCGCGGATGTGCACATAATTTCAACAGATTTCCAGGCGACGTCGTTTCATTCTAATTGCATAAACTCGAGTAAAATTACGTAGCAACTTCTGGCTTATATTTCATGCGGAAGTGTTCACGTGTTTCTAATCGGTGTTAACACGTTCTTGTCGATATACGTCATATCAAGGGCTGTATTAATCCGGGTATCAGAAACTACCGTTTGCACGGCTTTGCGGCGTTTCTCTCGGAGGATATTTGCGATTCCGCAGGCCATACATCAAAGTCAAGCACGTCCAAGTTCTGGCCAATAATCTCGGCGGGTAGGTGCAAGTCCCGAGGAACTTCCCATTCGGAGATAGATAGATACCTGTGGCTAAACCGACGATGGGACATTTGCACTGGCCCATCCCCAATTCGGATGTCCCAGTTGCACACTTGGCCAGACATCAGTCCGCTAATCAGCATCGACGGATCGCGCGGATTAAACTCGACGATTATTAACGGCGTCGACGACCTCAGGCATATCACCGGTGTGTTAGGATTCTCTGCGATGACACAGAATTACAAGCTGCAGATTTGATGCTGTTAAGTGAATAAGTGATCGAACGTTTCGCGTCTGGAGAGTTCTGTCTCTTTTTTTCCGAAATTTATTTAAACATTTAAGGAAAGAAACATTTGGTTTGCTCATTTTTCGCTGCAATGCGCAGCCAATAAAATGTATCTGGTGTGTTCGAAACTTTTAAGTACTTAAACATATTTTTTCCGACATTTCTATGTATTTAATAGTGGCGAAATTTGGTAATGGTTGATAACGGTACAAACTCTCTTCAACTAAAGTAGTATCGTGAAAGAATATTGCAAATAGCAGGCTTTTCATGTAAAATTCCCCAAAATATTTCTATTGCAAATCAACAGTTATTTTTATTTTCGATTGCTTTTTATATTTTTCTGCGAGATTTTGATTTGAGATTTGCGCCGGCTATGGAAAATATTTTACGTTTCGCTATATTATCCCACTAGAAATCATGTTACTGGAAATACGTTCGGCTTTATAGGCGGTTGTTTTTGTCATGTGATATGTTTCTGTCAATAACAAACGCGCCGCATAAACAACACGCATGCGTACCGACGTCTGGTGTAGATATAAAGATTCATGTCAGTGAGACGCATTTCAAATATTATGAAGGACTTTGAAACGACCAATCGATTTCCGCGACCGGAACCAGGACGAGCGTGTGACAGGTCGCGTTTGACGACGACATGATGAAACATGCTTCCGATACGTTGTAAAACGTGTCAGATTCGACATTCTAAAAAAATCTCTGCGCCGTATATTGCATTAGTGTAGGAAAATTCAATAAAATTCAGGAACAGCGGACAAGAACGTACCTCGCGCGAAATACAGCAAAAGCGTATATTTGATAGCTTAAAATAATTTTAAAATTAATATTGACATAACAATAAAAAAAACGTTTGAATTATAAATTGATCCAATTTCTATCGTTGTTAAATTCCCATTATATCGAGTATCGCGATAAATGTTATTACTTCTAAAACAAATGTGCTGGATTTTAAGTAAATCCATTTCAAAGTATCGCGAAAGGTCCGTGCTTTCTGGTGTTTTCATTAGCACTGCTGTGCGCTAGCATACGAACAACATCCTCATACCAATGTCCCATATGTAAGAGGAGGAGTTCACATTGGATGGTTTCGTCTCGAACTCCATGAAAGAGTAGGTAGCAGCCAATCGATTCTGTTCAACGGGCGACCACGACAGGTGATTGATTGGTCTTACGATAGGTTGTGGATCGGCGTACATGTTTGAGATTCTGGGGGGGGAAAAAAAGAAAATTAAAGCTCCCGTAAAAATCCGCGCAAAATCGCACCCGTGGAAATTCATTTCCCTCCTTTTATCTTTTTTTCCCCATCCCCGAGCGCGTAAATCATCCGCTCGGCGACGCGATAACGCCGCTGCTTTTACACGTTGCAGACGCCGTTCTTTTTGTTATATCCGCTTGGTAATACCCTTCACGAAGCGATTAATTGTAACGACAGCCGTAGATTCTTCGTCAGAATGCACGGAAACGTATGGATGCTATTAACGTTGAAAGCGAGGTAACTTGCCATTATCTCGCTTCGAGCTCTTCCCGCCTCGTGACCAAAACAGGCCGCTTTATTTTGAAAAATCATCGGATAGAAATCGAAATATAATAATATTGTCTTTATGACAATACTGCAAAAATACAGCGCGAGGCTTTGTTTCTATTTTGCTTTGTGTAAGCTATTAAAACGTAAATCCAAACTCGAATGTTTATTTCTTTTATTCTTTTGTAATTGCTTTCTGGTTTCAGAGAGAGAAGAAAAATTTTTTGATACTTTTATTCCGTGAAAGGTTGTTTTATTTGGTTTACCATCGCTTTTTTTTTTGAAAGTCTTCAAATTTTTTTTCGCGAAAATAGAGATAGCCAGAAATTCGAGCGCTGGTATCGGAGAGGGCGATATTTAGCAGCTCAGGGAAGCGCACATAGAAGAAAAGCGGATCAATTCGCGCGCGAGAATCGCGTGAGGAGGCATCCGGGAGGCGCAACACGTGTTTGGACGCGCGAGGAAAAAGACGGAGAAAAATTGCAACTCGTGTTAAACAAGCATGGAAAGACGAAAAGCCGACGAGATAAGAGAGCTTCTCCGCGAGCTTCTCAATGACAGCGTCGTCGTCTAGCGAGACGTCGCATCGATTTATGGATTTTCCGTCCTATAAATAAGTTACCGGGTTTCATACAAAATACGCGACAATGCAGAATGGCGAAACGACAAGTTTGTAGGTGGATTTTAGATCCGAACAAATTACAAATGTATTAATCGGGGGAAACGCTCTCGTCTATCAAACTATTGGCATGCTTTCTTTTACTTTTGTGCACAGAATCTGTCTCCGGATTTATGAAACCTATCCGTTATGTCTATAAGAACGTGTCGCGCAAGCGGCATCAGTCCCGGCGAAGATACGCGTCGTATGATAATTCCGTACGTGACCGCGATTTGCAGAGAGAGATTTAACTCGTCCGTGGAAGCTTGTCTCGGGCACGTTGAAGCGAGACTTTGAATATTCCTCGGATATTGGCGACTGCAGCGGGATTTTGCAGTTTAATGTATTCCAATTCGGTTCGAAAGAGAAAAAAACAGGTGATCTGGCGTACAGTTTAGATTTCGTAGACTTTGAACTTGAAACGAGGAAATCGTAAGAAGATTAGCATTCTTGATGGATATCGTAGCTTGAAAACGCACCTTTGAAGTGTCGATTTTTATCCCGTTATTTTTGTTACAACTGAGTTTTTCCGAAATTGTAAGAAATTGCTGCTTACTTTTTATGGCGACGACAATGCAACGTACCTTATACCACCAGGAAGAATGAGTTCAGGTTCTATGTCGTCAAAGTAGTTCTCGTAGATGTTGATCGCATTATTCTGCCGTACATAGTACTCCATAGGCTAAGCGAATAAGTTAATAAATTGATAACAGAATTACTAACTAATCCTCTTATCTTACGCCGGGTTTTTACTACATTAAGGAGTCTTCAAGGTAAAGTGCATTTACTTTAGCTAAGATTACACGTAAGTACATGCACTGAGAAAAATTTCCATCGGCTAAACCAATTAAATAGTGTTTTCGTTAATTAATTTTTCCGATTAACTTTTTCGAATAAATTATGTATATATCCGATGAAATTTATCCGATGAGCTGCAGTTACCGATGAAATTTGATCGAAAAACCGATCAAATTTTTCATCGAATATACAATTTAATCCGATATACTTAATTTGTTATTATGTAATTGGATTATCCGATTATATTTAATCAGATATTTTTTCCCGTGTACTCTAAATTGTTTTAGATTGTTATTTTATTTTAACTTTAATTGCGTTCTCGTGCAATTTTGGCATGAAATATCAAGAACGTTATATGAAAATTAAACAGCAAATCTCGATATTGCGCACAAACAACTCTGTATGTGATGCGTTTCGAATGATTAAAAGGGTATTTTATAATAGATATATTTCAAAGCGGCTCACGTCGGTGAGGTTCTTCATCTTCGGCGCCCAATACTGCTTCATCACGCGCCGACGAAATCTCAGCACGGCTTCGTCGTCCTTCACGTTTATCTCCTTAGGCCAACCGCCCTCCGAGTGTAACATCCCGCTCTCCTTTGTTGTCTTACTGACGGTCTGCATCTAACGTAAAAATAAAAAGGAATATCACGAGCTGCGCACAGCGATCAAGTTATAAAAGTCTCTCCATTTCTAACCGACTTTTTATTGCAAATGTAAAACGTAACGCCTCGCACTTGTGGACCCTTGAGAAACGCGTCAAGGTGTTAAAGTAGTTTGCTTAAAGAGAAAACGCGCGATCTCTCATGTCCGCTGTATTTTAGACCATCAGTCTATATTTTCCCCGTGGCGCAGCTTACCTGTTCCGTGGACGCAAATCCTTATTCGTTATGGAATTGAGCGTCGTAAACAATTTATGACGCGTCTCAACGTAAACCCACGTTTATGGCACACGTTGTCAAAGGCATGCTCATAAATATTGATCCGTTATGCTATTGTGAGGTTAAATGTGGTAGTTTAATTTTTTATTGCGAGAAATACGTGGTTTACCGTGCAAACTGTAAACTGATGCGTGAAACAATATTATGTTTGAATTAAACTTTCCGCGAGTTTTATTTCGCTCGCCCCCGGATTGAAAACCCGGATTTACATCGTAAATTTTGCATATTTTTTAGAATCGCAGACAATATTTAATTTAAGCCGTCATAACTCCGATCCTCTGAAATGCGAAAATATTAGGAAGACTCGCGGGCCCTGCACGTATTTACATGACGCATTTATTAATTCTTGGAAATTAAATGCCACGACCGCTAAACTTGCTGCAGAATTAGTTCGAGGATGACTCGGCAAAGTTGTTTTCATAATCCCAACTTTCTCTTAAATCTTACGATATACAAAGTCTCGAATAGAACTTTATAAGCGTTTAACAAGTGCTTAATTTACGGATCATTTATGCAGCTGATGATGATACACCTCGAAGATACGCAGTATTATATTAACATAATAACAGAATACTCGACGCGTAAAATATTAATTAAGATAATATTTAAGATGTTCGTCTAATGGCTATTTGTCCAAACTTTTAATACTTATCCAGCATTTTATCTACAACATTCTAATATTTCTTTCAGATGAAAGTTTTATTTTCCTTATTACGCGATAAATTTATACAAACATTTAAAAATTATAATATAAATAATAAATAATAATTAAGATTGATAATTTGAATAATTAACAAGCTGAAAAACTTGCCGCTTAAACTTGGCGATCTTTCGAGCCACAATAATTTCCTTACCTCGTGAAGAGCGAATTGCTTGGACATTTGTATGCCACGGCGACAATGACTCATGCGGGTGTAGTTTCGCATGAGTTCCGGATCCGGCAGGATATTCTCCTGAACGATAGGATCGGTCTCTCCGAAGAAGCATTGCTTACCGAACTGCGACCTTGGTTTGATGTATGTGTAGTGGATCAGCATTATCGGAAATCGTTCTCCGGGCTGTGGGATGTACGTTAAAACGAGGAAACGATGACGGACTCGCGCAAACAGAGACGGGGGCGCCTCCGTTAAATTATTTAGAGGGTGGGCAAAGGAAATCGGCGAACGGTGCAGTTTGCACGTTTATCTAACCGCTGATACTTTTCACGCACGAGCGCCTGACGTCGATCGTGATACGCGATACGCTCGATATAGCGTGAAGGGCCATTAAGATGATGTTCAGCTTGTGAAACACGACACGCGAACGAGCTGTGGCGTTACGTAATGTCTCGATCGGGGAAGACCGATGTCACGCGTGCTTCTTCGTTAATGATAAACGTGAAATTGTAAAATTACGTAAGAGAGTCCCGACAGGAATAGCTTTACGGTAAATTGATAATTTTCAATCTGACTTCAGGATTTGATTTTCCGACAGGAGAGCAATTTTACCAATTCCACTTATGTCCACGAGAAAAATTGAAAGATTTCCGGAGAAATCGCGCAAAGATGGGCCAGTAAGCCTCAACCTCGTGGAAAGGAAATATTTCTTTTTGCCGGGTGGAAAGTAGGTCTCCCGAGTCGAAAGGAGCCGCTCGGGGACTTAAAAGTCGACACGTGCGACAGCGGGCAGGGTGGCACCCGCGAGGAAAACTCCGCGTAATCTCCCACACGGCGCTCCGTTACCGCGGGTACATCCTCTTTGTGCATCGGCGATTTGATTGCGCGTCAATTCACCGCGCTGGATGCACTCTATGGAATTACGGTACCGCGCGCGCATTCTCGTGCCGTCGGGCCATCGCGATGACATTATCCCTTTGCCGAGAGCACTCACAATTTCTGCGGTCCGCAATCCGGCGTCCGCCAATCAACGCTTTCGCGCCGTCCGATAAATCGGATGAGCCCGCCGCCGGGCGCTGCACCTAATGAATCAGATTCGATGCGGAGCCACCGGCATTGTATGATCGATTATCCTGCGTGCGCGGCGACACGAATCTGAAACTTGGCGATACCCCAATGCCAGATTCAATTTGCGAATTCCTAATGGCTGTACGCGGAATCGGGTTCAAGTTTTAAGAAATTGGCGCTGAGCATTTAGCTTTTAGCACCGGAGCTTAATAGTCGTGACAGTGTGGGTAATCGCGAGCGATTTCCAAAATAAAGTTTCTCTCTCTCTCTCTCTCTGTGCAGTTTATTAATAATTTATTTATTAATAAATTAATTAAACATATTATTTTTAGACTGTGCTTTAAACTTTGAAAGTAACGGCGCGTAGTTATTACAGCTAAGCAAAGAACGTACATAAATTCATGCATGAAAAATATTAGACACAAAAGAACCAGCCTGACCATTCAAAGTTCTTCTTACGTGAACAATTTATTACAATATTTTTATATGGTTTATATAATTCGATTTCTATCTCTGTAAGAAATCATCTCGTTTCTTATTGCATTATTCCATTTCAATTTTCACCGCAATCTGCGGTGATCTTAAAAAAGGTCTTAAAAGTAGTATAAAAATATTGTATAATTTGTCATCTAGCCGTAAAAAATTATTAGTTTATTGTTTATAAATATTTTCAGAATATAAAAATTTACAGAGTTCCTTGAGAACTGACGGTTTTATTTTCCTTCTGTACACTGAGAAAATTTTTCATCGGATAAACCTATTAAATAATGTTTCCGGTGGTTAATTTTTCCGATTATTACGTTTTCCGATTATTACGTTTTCCGATGAAATTCTGGATACATCCGATGAAATTTATCCGATGAAGCGCAGTTACCGATGAAATTTGATTGAAAAACCGATCATATTTTTCATCGAATATACATACGAGTAATTTAATCGGAAAAGTTAATCGGAAAAATTAACCATCGGATACACTGCTCAATTGGTTTATCCGATGGAAAATTTTCTCATAATGGTACACGAATCAGACAAACGAGAACGCCGTATTGGTCCGAGCAAGTTGTAGATACTCCAATAATTTTTAATACGTGAAAATTTGTAACACGTATAATATAAAATGATGGCCTTTACGTAATGACATAATGAAGGTCTGATTACGAGCCGAAGATCCTCGTACGAAATTGGCGCAACCACGGCAGTTTGCGTGAACGTAAACTAATGACAACATTATTCGACGAGTTCCCGAACGGAATTCTCCAATCAATATCCTCATACGAGTTCTGAAATCGGATAATCCCGAAGACTGTGCCACTCGTAATGAATCGGATCGATCGAATCGGGCCGCCGCGTATGTGCGACGACACATATCGAAGATGAACCCGAAGCGCGCCGCTAAAGCAATTTAGCCGCGGATTCTAAACCACGGTAGCGTCGCGAATGGAAAGTTTGGAATGGAATTCACACGACCTCGCCCGCGATTCTAGAGTTCTCCGAATTTTGGTGGCAATTAGGACCGACGTTCAATGGACAATCTCCGGCCGGCGGATGGCACGGCGAAGTTACGAGAGGGACTGGAAATTAGTTTGGCTGTCGAAACGAAATGATAGGAGTGATGGATTGTGACGTTTATATTGTAATTCTATAAATCGGGTATGCATTTAGAGCAGACATATTGTAACGTTGACACGCATGAACATTGCAATATCAATCAAGCTCCTCTCATCGCATACTTCAATCGTTCGTAATTTTTACTCAGCAAACCGCACGCGTTTCATACGTGTTGCGTCAAAATTTCCGGTAACCACAATAGTTTTTCAAATTCAAATAAATCCAAATGTTATTCTTTGTCCGATCGCGAGTGTATACATCATTTTTATGACTCTTTTATTAACTGTACGTCAAACGGTTGACGCAATCGTAGCTTCGTTGTATCCGATAATATTTTAATATCTCTAAAATGTTACCTCGATCGTAATAAGCGAGAAATCGACGACAGAGAAGCATTGGGGAAAGTAACAGGATCAAAGTCCAACTACAGGAATTCCATCCTTAAGCTTCCAATGAAAGATGTTGGGAGCTTTCTGGCGCAAGGTAAAGCCACGTTGAAAATCTTAACTTACACCACGAGCAAAATGTGTGCTAAAAGTACCGTAAAGGTTTAACTCATTTTATACGGAGATAGTGCTCTGCAGTGAACCGTCTTGTTTATTAAAAAGTCTTGTTTATTGCCGAGTGAGCACTCAGTCAGAGTAAATTCAAATATTGCAGACGCTTCAAAGATCTTGTATTTCTTGCGTAAATAATACGTCTTCTCATCCAGGTGTCCACAAAGACCTCGATGCCGCATTCATTTACGAAATCGAGAATACTATGAGAGAATTTTATCAGAGAACAATCTCGTTCGTCTCAATAGAGCAAGAGATTTTACGAGATGAATATTCAACCCAGAATCTTGACATTTCTGTCGCGTGAAAAATCGCGAATGACGTACGCATTAAACGAGTCCCTGAAGATTCCACGGAGATTACTGGCGTCACATATTGTTACAAGTCGCGTGATTTCGTGTCGAAATGTTACGCGAGAAAATTCTTCTGTGACCGATGATTTGTTACTTTTGCAACGTAATATTAACACAAAAATAATTACACGACTTGAACGAGGGAAAAGTACGCGGTCTAGCTGCGAAAAGGATGATACGAAACCACACCGAGAACCCTCCAAGGATCATCAACAGTCTGCAGAATCCTGCGAAAAACCGCACGAATGGCGTAGCGATGGTTATCAGATATCGGCTGAGAATTATCAAAAGATTCGTGGCGACTTATCGAGTAATCGCGAATGTTATCAGTCAATTGAATCCAATTCTCCGATCTGCTTGGACAAACCTGCGCCATTTAACAATTGGCAAGAGTGCGAATCGTCGAAGCACGGATTTTATAAACCGAAGCGGGCGACTCTAATCATATCTGAAAGATGGTATTGCGGAAAACCAGCAACGGACGGAGAGATTTATCACAAATGCAAGCCGAAACCATGCACTTATCCGGATAGCCGGGAAAACGCAATAAGTTTCCCATCATTGCGAGACTGTCGCAAAGCCCTGTTGGATGAGGTAGCGAAAGACAAGTCGAAACAAATTGCAACTTATCCGACGCTACAATGTTCTGAATCAGAGCCTATGTCTTCCAAAAAAATTATATCGAATGAAAGAAAAACTTCTCCCGTGGAACGTAAGATATCAAAGGAGTGTCTGGCACCGGATACACACAAGTACAGCATAAAACGTGATCCTCCACCACCGAGATATCAACACTGGAGTGAGAATCCGCCGTCTTATTGCGACCATTGCTCGAAGAAGACAACCTATTCATCCCCTGTTAAAGCTTCGCCGATGTTCTTCGTTCCAGAGAAAGGCTCACGGAGATCTCGTGCGAAAGACACTGCGTCATCTCCTCAGAATATTCATGAGGATTCCAGAGGGAGTCGGAATGAAAATGAGTGCAGCGGAACAGATGCCAAGGCGCCGCGCTTGCAGAAGAGTGTATCGAAAAAATGTTGCGTGATTTCCTTCGAGGACAAGTGCGCTGCTTCTTTCACCGTTCCTGTGCCTGTTGACAGAACGGTGGAATCTAAAATTCAACAATTTCCTATGCTGACGAGGGACGGTCGCTGCTGTGTTGAGAAACTTGAAAAGAAATCGGCCACGACGGACGTTAGCGATTGTAATCCTAATGTGGCAAGTTTCAAGTATCGATTGAGCAAGTGTCCTCGCATTAAGGAAATGTGGAGTATCGGCATCAAACGCGAGCCACCTGTTGACGTTAGTGTGCGACAAAAGCAAGGAGCTCTTTTGTCCCACTGTGGAAAGATGAAGAGACCAGAGTCACGGGCAGAAACCACTAGAGGTAAAAGAAGGAAGTTCAAGTCGCGAATACCGGGCAACGGATGGACGCGACAGAAGTACAAGGCACGCTTGAAGATTTTCCAAAAGGGAAATGGACGTCTCGATCCTGGTCTTCCGCGGATCGTCGAACTGATACACCCGCGCGGCGAAAAAATGAGACCAAAGCTATTACAGTCTAAGGCGGACAAAGGCGAATTTTCTTCGCGATCGAGAAACTCGTGCCCGCATTATTGTCCATCCAAAATGCCGATTGCCGAGACGAAGAGTTATCCGACGAAAATGAACGAGAGCAGGGTGATTCGCGATCAATACCTGGAAAAACTTCCTTGCAAAAAGCGTCGCTGAGCTTTTCGAAACTACTTTACGATGTAAAATATTTGGAATTTACGTTAATGGATTGAGTCAACTTTTATTTTAAGAATGTACAAAATTTGCACTTATTTCATATTTTCTGTACTAATATAAACTTTAATGTACGGAAAAAACAGACGCACATAGTATAATATATGAGTCAATAGGTACCTATAAGGGAATCAATAAGCGCGAAATAAAAATTAAAAAAATAGTAGTATTGCTTTAAAAATTGTAAAAATTTTAAGCACATAGCTTAGTTATCAGTAAATTAAAAAGTAGCGTGCGCTTAACTGACATCTACTATTATAGTATTATTAAAAAATATTTATTTATAATTTTACCAAAATGACAGACTTTAGCGGCAGAAATGTTTTAGCACCCACTTAATTTATTCTGCTTTTTGTTTATATTAATAGGAATAGCTTTTCAAGTGAAATATATGCACTAGACATGCAAAGGTGACATTATAAAGGCGTAGGTAGGGAGGCGCGGAAATGAAAAAATGCAGCTTGCGTGGCCCGAGACGGCTGCAAAAGAAGTCTGTTCGCAGCAGCTGGCCTCCACTCCAACTTTTCACGTTTATCATTATCTCACCCTCTCGTCGTACACCCTTATTTTTGCACTCGGTGGAACAAACTTGCGCATCAAACGCCGTTGTTTTATGGCCAGTATACATTTTCATTTCTGTCGGGAAATGATATATCTCGTAGCCCTAATAAACGCGACTCGGGATTTAGTGGGCATTTATCTTGTCTACATCGTCGGGAATAATGGGAAAAAAATAAAATCGCGCGAGCTTGCGTTAATCCAATTCCAATAATTAATGCAGAGTCGTGGTGGATTTTGCATCTCCGAATTTATGTTCTCTCGACAAAATTTTACAGAGTATTCACGCTGTAAAGCTACAATATGTTAATAAATCGTTAATTAGTTTTCATTATCGTATAATTTGACGAGAGAGAGAGAGAGGGGGGAGAAATAATGCAAACTAAATTGTTATGAATCTAAGTTATGACCTAAAATGCATTTGTTCTTAAAATTTGCAGCGCAACATGTATGTAATTATCTTACACAGTTGTACGCGAAGTAAAAAGACATGATTCCGTACATTTAGCCTTTCCTCTACGTACGTTTAACGAGATCGCAACGCATACAAGCGGCGGATGTTATATCCGCTCCAGTGGCTTCAAAATTGCTATCCATTTATAAGTACGTTAGCCTGCACTCGTTTTTTTCCCTTCATTGAGATTGCGCGCGATTAAGGAGTACGGTAAAACAGCGGAAGAATCACCGCTCGTAATGTTCACGATTGTTAACTTCTAATTGAACACCGCCGAACAAGCGGGCCCAGGTCGGTCGTTTTCTCTAACGGGCTCGATATAACGAAAACCGCGGTGACATTTTCACGATACTTATGCAGAACCGCATTGTTACAGATAAATGATGATTGGTTCCACATGGAGCATCGATCCGTGGCGAAGAGGTCGACGGAACCGCATCTCGATGTGCACCAAAGGCTAATGAATGACTCCAGAGTACGTCGAGCGGAGCAACAGCGGGCAAAATCGCGTACCAAAAGGGATCTTATAATCAAACGTCCGTCCAATACACTGACCAAGCTAAACGATGAGAGGTGGCCTCAGATGTGGTATCTGGTAAGCAATTTTAATCAAGAGTACGTTATCCTGTGTACGACAAGGCTATTATGTTGCGCCGATAAATAAACGCACGTGATTTCATGCGATTAAAGTATCAAAGATAAAAGCAGAATAGAAAATGTAGTAAGCAATGCTTTTCATATCAAAAAGGTATAATCGTATTTATCGTAATCGCGTTGTGAACAATATTTCCATATTAAATATTTCCAGATTTACGTTTAATTTAGTAAGAATTACACACTATCGATATTATTGACAAACATAAAAAAAATGTAGTATTATAATATTTTATGGACCTTTATTTATAAAATTTCTTTGAAACAATTCTAATGCGATTAACAAGAATAAAGTAAATAAAATGAAAAAGTAGCATGATAAAAGATATAAAAATCTATAAACGAGCTCGATCGATGTCGGCTCAGAAAGGACGTTGACGTTTATATCGTAAATGAAGACCCACAATCCATAGCCGGAAGTAGCACGTCGAAAGTATTGGATAATTTTTTCCTTTCAGAACAGGGGAAAGGGATTGGACATGAACGTGCAGGGCGCTTGGGCTGAGGGAATTACTGGAAATGGCGTCGTGGTCACAATACTTGACGATGGATTGGAGAAAGATCATCCTGATCTTTACAAAAATTATGTGAGCATTTCAGTATTTTATCATTTCTTTTTAAAGTTTCACGACTTCCAAGACTTTATATACAAAGTCTTTTTTGTAACGGCGACAATAGAGCAAACAATATTTTCGGTGTTAAAAAGCAGCAGCTCTAACTCGTTTAACTTAAAATATTGCAAACTGTAGTTGTAGTTAAGTAAATTGCGTTGTGTAATTTTTCATGGTAGTAATCTTGCAAAGTAGCTTTCTATTTGATTAAATTTACGGGAATAAGTAAAATTGCAGGCGCTTAATATCTGCCTAATGTCACTCGATGGACGAATGTTCGATGCGTAGATATTCGATGACACAAAAAGAAGAGAGATAAAAGGAAGGAAAAGCTCCGGAATGCACAATAGAAAACGACGGGTGAAGGCGTATCGGGGATGCACCGGGAATATCGGCTGTTGAGCGCGAATATTGGGAGGGGTTATCCAGTCCATGTATATACCGAATGGCTATTGATTCATGGATGGTTACATTGAATGAGGCATCTGCGCACGCAGTAGAAAGTGAATCGCATTAATCAACCAGTAGACACACGCTGCGATAGTGCGCCTTAGCGCGTTGCTCTGATTATGCGAGCTTATATCCCTTCACATGTATTTCTCATTATGCAGATGATCCATAAATGAATAGGCATTAAGAAGATATCCGGATGGATGCGCGTGATTAGGGATTGAAGCGCAGTACGCCGTCGCTCTAACGACAATAAACTATCATTATTATTTTATTACTGTAATCCCCGTGTCACGTATTATCTGTTCGAAATATCTCTCTTGGGCAAAGAAACGGAAATGTACTTATTGCTTCCAAAAACTCTTG